GGTAAAGCTACAGGAACCAGAGCTCAGGAGGGCTGTGAGTCGTGGAGGAGGCAGCTTTCCTTGGATTTGGGTCTCAGGCTTCCTGTGACTCAGTGAACAACTTGGGCCATGAGCGGCTTCCAGGCAGAAGCTGCCAAACTGCCAGATTCACTCTGCCCAACACAGTGTCTGAGATACAGAGGGAACCCACTAAGTGCCAGCAAGTCTCTTTCCCCTTTCACTCACCATTGGCACAAGTTTAGAAAAAAGTAACTTTAGGGAAGGGAATCTGTTGAAGAAAGCAGGCAGCAGAATTCAATCCCGCAGGGATGTGATGTGCACCTATACTCACTGGGGGACAGAATCGGCTGAGCCCTCCTCCAAAATACCACAGCAGGGCCTTTATGCCATGGCAAGGGCAAGGCTAAGCAGCCTGACTTGACGAGGCCAAGGTTCACTCATTTGGCAAGCATTTGCATATTTGAGCACCTACCATATGCTAGGCAGTGTGCCCAGCATGGGGAAAGCACACTTAGGGTTCATAGTAGGAGATGAAGCCAGTTCCCCAGGCCGCAAACAAATGCTCTGTGGGATGGACCCCAGCTCTGAGAGCATCTGCTAGACTGGAGAAGTATGTGAGTGGCAAGAGATATATTTATATTTATTCTCTGCACTTTAGATTAACTTATAATTTACTTTAATTAAGGCCAAGAAAGATCTTAGACCTATTGTGTGCCCAGCACCATGCCATGTGCAGAAAGACAAACATTTAGAAGATATAGTCTCTGCCCTTTGGGGACTTAAGGGTCTATCGAACACTGAAAATGCTTAGAGAAGGATTCAGAGCGTGGGCCACAAGCTAATGCACTTGAAGAAGAGGGAGGTTAGAGTAGACTGAAGTAGGTGAAGGGAGAGGTATGGACCTCCAGACCCTCAAGGATGTGTGGTCCTTGATCCCCTGGACCTTACTGCCAATAGTCTCATTTCCAGGCTCAATCAAGGATGACGACCCCATCAGTGATGCCACTGGCTAATAAGCCCCCAGCTAGAAGTCCAGCCAGGGTCGCTGTCCCCAAACCATCCTTCTCAACCGTTGTCTGGGTCTCTGTGTCCACTTTTTCCATGGAGAGACCAGGCCCCACATTAGATCGGATGAACCTCAGTGGAAGGGAGCACGGGGATACCCAGATGCGGGGTGACAGCTAATATGGCTGGAGACACTAAAGTGGAACAAGCGGCACATTTGGGGAGATGAAAAGGTGAAGCGGTATTTTTGATGGAGGTAGGAGATCCATCTTTGGTTGAAAGGTAAATAAAGAAAAAGCCTCCAGGGAGGCTGAATGAGACAGTGTCTGGGGCCCAGTGTAGACACCATGTCACTGGAGTCATTTCAGTTCACAAACACCAGAGAGACTCGGGGTGCCAGGCTTTAACCAGCTAAGCTGCATGGTAGTTAATAGGAAAGCCCTCATTTGGTCAAATAACTCAGTCCATGAAGGTAGCATAGGATCATGGTTGAGCCACTCATTGATAGGGTGGTGACAGGAAATGACAAATCCAACTGGATTGCAGATTGACGTAGTCCACCTTGATCTACCATTAGGCTTCCCACAAATCACAGTCCTGCAGCCCTTGCATCCCCAAAGGTTTCCCAGGCCTGTTGCTGACCAAGTGATTTAAGAGAGAACTGAGGTAAGGAGAACCAGTATCAGAGGTCCACTGATCTGATAAGAGAGCCTGTAAAAAGATAGGCTGGACAAAGTGCTCTGTCCCTTTCACCCATGCCAAGATAAAGACAGGGTGATGCAAGAATTTGAGAAAGAGACTTCTCTATCTGGGCTTTCTGCATAATCAGCCTTCACACTACCTGGTTTAGCCAATGATCAGGAGTCACCAGATTCAATTTGCAAATAAGCTTTATCGCTATTAGTCTCATTTGCGGAGGCAACCTTTCAAGGCCATTGTCTTTTCAAGTACTGCTGCTTACTAGGTGCACGGCCCCATGCAGTTACTCAAAGCCACTGAGCTTACATTTCCCTCCACTGCATTTAAGAAGGGGCAAAGCGATAATCTCTCCTTCAAAGAAATAGTGTGTGGGTGAGCCTTCTGGTTCACTGTGGGTCACAGGGAAAGTCCTCAGCAGGCTAGCTCCCTTTCTCTTCCACGAGCAGTTTCTAACTCCATGTCCATATCAGATGTTCTATTCTGAGACAGCCCAAATGAGAAGAGATAATCATGGTCTTTGTAATGTAACTGTCTTTCAACTTACATGCAAAAGTCTTAACAACAACTCCTCATTTTTATTTAAACAGAGGATTTGAGCTCTATTTAAACAGAGCTCAGAGGGCATGGCACACATCTGAGCTCTGACCAACCCATCGCCCCTGACCCTACCCCACCCCTGCTTTCTCCTACAAGCCCTTCACGACCTCATAACTCTTACAGTAGAACGACCCATGAAAACCCGGAGAACTACTACCAGCTCCCCTGAGGAGTGGGGATACCATGTCCTGGTCATTACAGAACGAGGCCTGTCTGACCTTCCAAAACTCATGCATTTATTCAAAAAACATGAATTAAGTAAGAGCCCGGGAAATATCAGGCCAAGTGCCAGAGGGAAGAAGACGTGAGAGTCCATTTCAGACCTCAGGACACAGAGTCCTCCGGGGGGAGAAACGGGCCCAGCAGAGTTTACAGCACAGTGTGAAAAGAGCTGTGATGGAGGAACTCAGGGCAGCTAGGCTCACACCATCTTTGCAGGGCGGTGCACAAGAATCGCCCCACGCTAGATTCCAAACGACTGTCAGTACCTGGCTAGGCCACGAGGCAGATTGGGGCGGGCACTTCACTCCTTGTTTCTAAGTTACTGCCAAATCCTGGTTTGGAAATTTTCCTGTCTAGGGGTGGGAGGATTTCTTTGTTTGAGGTGCAAAGCACATAAAATTAACCACGTTAAACTGAACGGTTCAGTGGCACTTAGAATGCTCACAGTGTTGGGCAACCACCACGTCTATCTGTGTCCCAAGAACTTCTTCCTCACCGCAGCGAAACCCCGGACCCATTAAGCAGTTACTCCCATTCCTCTCTCCTTGCAATTTCTGGCAACCCCTAATCTGATTTCTGTCTTTCTGGATTTGGAGTGCAAGGGCTTCCAGAGGAGGATTTCTCCCAGTTTCTAATTCTTTGGCCCGTGCATTGTATTAGTACTTAACTAGGTTCACCAGAAACTGAGACTTAGCTTGCCTCCGGACCTAAATGAGCCAGAGTTCAAAGTCCAGTTCCAACCTCTTCATACTGTGTCCAGTTTCCTTTTTTCTAAGTCTCAGTTTCTCTACTTAAGAAACAAAGTTACCTACCTCCTAGGACTATTTTAAATATTTTTTTAAAAAGCCCCATAAAACAGTAAGGATGGCACTGCCCCATAGAACATATTCAATGAATGGTGGCTGTAATAATTGCAGTTCTAGAAAAATGTCAACCTGAAAAAGTCTCTAATAAGTATGTGAACTCAATATCTGCGCGGGTCACCATACATGAAAATCTTATTACAAATAAAATTTTCTCGGAATTCAGAAGGCAGGCTAACTCAATTCTACACATGAGTGGACAGAGCATGGTTTTAGCACCAGACTGACTGCAGCTTCGGTGTCTATTTGACAATCGGCCGCTTTGTGACCTTGAGAAAACTGCTGAAGCTCTCTGAGCCTCGTGACTCAACCACAAAATGGTGAAATCATCTACCTCAGAAGATTTTCTTAAGTAAATGTATGTACTATCAGCTGGAACTTAACTGGCTTCCTCTTCCCTCTCTCCATTCATTTCCTGACTCTGTTTCCCTGACCCCCTGCCTCCCTGTAGAACCTGTGGTTGCCCTGTGTATTTAGCACTTAAGTACTTGATGATACACGGATTATATTGTAGGCATTTTTGTCCTCAAAGGGCTGGAATATAGCACGGGAGAGAAGACTGTTTTAGGTTAGGATCTAAGTCAAATGCCTGGCTAGAACTTTCTGGATTATATATATATATAAATAAGTTGAAATGTGTTTTTAGGGGTATGCCTGCCTTGCATTTTGTCAGGGTCCTTACTGCCCGTGTCCTACTATGTCCTGTTTATTTCACTTGGCTATATGATGGGCCTGCCCTATAAGACATTTGTGACTTTTGTTTTATTTAGGTTTTTGTTCCTTTCATTCGGCCTAGCACACAAGTGATCCCTACCAATTTTTATACCATGTCTCTTCCAAGATCATTCTATATTCATCTCAAACACTGGTTAATTACAGGGACCCACCCCAGTGGAACCCCCGTGCTGGAATGTAGCAAAAGGGATCAAGCAAAACCAAGTAATTAATTACTTAACTAATTAATTACTAAACCAATTTTTTTACTTTTAAATTAAGTTTTACTTTATTATTTTTCAAGATTCTGCTTCTGTTAGAGATCACTTATCACTTTCATGCTGGAGCTACGGAGTTCATCCTTTTCAAACCACCAAAAGGGTTGCTACCCCCAGAAGCTAGTAAGCACTGATGTTGGCGTCCCTTCCTAATCCTCACTCCTTAATTGTCCTTGAACTTCATATTAGATCCGACTGTTGGTCTTGGCCCTTAAAACAGATCCAGCTTCATCAGAATCATTCCCTCAGTCAGCCATTCATCAGCTCCTCCCCAGGAAAGAGTCCCAAGTCCTCCATAAAGATTGAGAGCAACCCCCAGCCCGCAGGGGAGCTATGGCAGACGCTCAGATCCAGAAAAACAGGTCTCGGTTATGGTTCACCTCCCCCAAGAGAGGCAGGAGAAAGAAAATTGGATCCATGTCCCACATTCCTCCTTCCTCATTCCTCATAAGGAGGGGTTACAGGTGTCCCCCAGAGACCTAGGAGAGGAAGTGCTGACACGTGCTTGGGACCCAGTGAGCTCTAGAGTCACTGAGGCTGGTGTCAGGATACCTTCTCAGCCTCTGCCCCATGCTCACACAAAGCCCCTGGCTAAGTACCCCCCTCAGTTTGGTCCCCTTACCCTGTGAAGGGGGCCTCATCTCTCGGTGGTTCCAGTAAATGAGGCTTCCTGGCTCCGAGTCCTTCCTGGCACATGAGTCCCTGTTCTTCTTCCCTCACTCCTGCATCCTTCAGGGACAGGGTGGCTTCAGAGCATCCATGCAGGCAGATGGCCGGCTCCGAGGGCCCCAGGTCTGCCCAGCCCGCCCTGCCCGCCCTGCCTGAGTTAGGCCATGGCCCGGCTTCCTAGCGTGCTCGGGGACTTCACTTCCTGGTTTTTCTTTCACAACTGAAACTGGAAGCGTCTGACCAGGAGGAAGAAAGCCGCCAAATCTACTCTGGCTGATTTTCAAACGCTGTAACCCCAGCCCCCAAGGGCTGAAACAAAAGCCAGCTCACAGTCACACAGCTCACCCATTCCTCCCCTGAGCATCTCAAAAAGAAGACAAAAACAAACAAAAACGACATGAGGTGTCCCCTCAGATTACTGGTGTCAGAGAAGTGACGCTGCTCCCTGCTGGATCTGCAGAGCAGGGAGGTCCAGCCAGAGGCACCTCAGCCCTCACAGAACTCCCAAGACCACAGGACACCCGGAGGCCAGCCCGGGCCAGCCATGGTTGTCACCCTCTGTCCCCGGCATACCTGCCTCTGTCCCAGAAGCAGTTTTGATAAAGTCGACAAAACAATCAGATCAGGAAGAGCTGAGACAGGGATGGACAGACTTTGTTCATCCTTTTCATACTTCAAACTTTAAATAAAAAATACGTTCTGCTGCTTCCCTAGCCTCCCAGAATAAAACTGCAAACATTTTAAATCACAGGACTATACAAGCACATATGCCATGAGCTGTCAGATTGACCAACACCACCTCCCCCCCCCCCCCCGCCGCCATCTAGTAGCTTCTGGAAAACCACACCGTACACACAAGAGACCGTGACAGAGGAAAAAGCAAATAGCTTCTTAGTACATATTATTATAAAATTGTTTTTGAATATTCAGATCTCCTGAAAGGGTCATGGGGATTAGTTTACAGCTACCAGGACCTGTAGTTGTCTCACTAGATTCACCTAAGGCTGTGGCCACAGAAGACCCTGGGAGCCCCCATTCTTAGATTTAGAAGCAGAAATGACAAATGTTCATGCCCTTTCTCACCCCCATTCCTCCCTCCCATCTCACTGACACCCAGAAAGTAAACAGCGCTTTGCCCAGCCAGCCCTTCACTAGAGCTAGATTAGGATTATTTCTCTCTCTGCAAGAGAGGAGGTCCTAAAAGCCCCAGCCAGAACAGCCAGGGTGGACTGTGCTGCAGTCTCAGAGAACATGAGTTGGTCCCTAGGCCTCGCTGGAGCACCCCTCAGTCACTGGAGAAAGATGAAGTGCAGGAAGATGAGGGTAGCCCCCCTCCACTCTGTCTTCCGGGGCATTTCAGGGCTGGAGGAGCACTTGGCTTTCCTTTGTTTCAGCAGCTCAACTCCCCAAGAAGAAACTTCCTCCAGTGGAGGGCAGAGGACAGCAGAATGGGTGTCCTGTCTCAGCCACGCTGATGCCTTGGGTGCTTCCCTGGGTCCTGTCTTCTTTTTCCAACCAGATGAAGAGCTCAGAGCCAGGAAGAGATGAGCCTTTCTTTCCTTTCTTTTCTTTCCACTGTTCCTTCCTTCCTTTTTTTCTTTCTTTTGTTCTTTCTTTCCTTCTTTTTTCCCCTTCTTTTCCTTTCCTTCCCTTGCTTTCCCTTCCCCTTCTCCTCCTTTCCTTTCCTTTCCTTGCTTTCCCCTCCTCTTCTCATCTTTTCCTTTCCTTTCCTTCCCTACCTCCCTTCCTTTTTTCCTTCCTTCCCTCCTGTCTTCTCTCCTTCCTTCCTTCCTTTTTCCCACTGGCTTCCTCCAGAACTGAATGCTCAAATTCAGAAGATTCTGAATCATTATAAAGTTCTGGCAGATTGCATCCCTATTAAATCCTCTGGGCACTTGAGTGACAGTCCTGAGATATGAGAGCAATAGAAAGATTGGCAATCCACAAGGATTCTGCACCACCCAGCAGCCTATAGTAGCAGACTGATTAGGACTCAAACCCTTGCCACTACACCACCTCGGCTATACAGCCCAGGCCATGCTGTTTAAGCCCAGACACACATGATTTATTTATGAAATGCAATACCACCTACCTCCCTGGAAGTGGTGAGCCAATGAGGTTAACGCATGTCACACACACAGTAGAGACCCCAGCACCTAATAAAATGTCGGCTAAGGCTTCCCTTCTTCTTTCTTCCAAATGGGAATCATTGTCATCAACAGCTGGTGAATGCTCTTTCTAACCATAGTAACACAGAAACTTCTGAATGGAAGATGAAGGAGACCCGTATCCTGGTTTTGTCTATAAGCCTTAGAAACATTAAGTCTGTTTTGGTTTCATTTAGTAAAATTAACAAATTTCTGTTCCCAGTCTATCTCCTCTCAATGTTCAGGTTGCTATGATGTCTCCACTCGGTTTCCAGTTGCCTTTTTGTTTCTTGTGCCTCCCACATAAGTCAGCTGAGATTACTATGCAGCTAAATGTAATTTCATGTCCAAAGAGCCTTATGCTGAAAATGGATGCATGTTCCACCTTCCTTCCCTCCAATTATTCCCAACCCTGCTCTCCCATAGACATGTCAACTCTAGAGTAAGTGCAGTTAGTGCAGCTTACCTCGTAAGGATCTTCTCACTTCCTGGGGGTGCAGGAAATGTGCCCCTCACGGCTGGCTGTCCTGCTTCAGCACCACCGTCAGGCACTTCTGCCTTTGTCACAGCTCAGAGATGGGGCCACACCTGAAGCCAATGAGTCCTGTCCCAAGAGTGGCCAACAAGCTATCCTGGAAACTTTGAACCTGTTGCAATAGAAGTTCAAAGGTAGAAGTTACCTGTTTAAACACTTGTAGTAACCTCTGACAGTGAGAAGTGTAGGATTTGGCAAAAGGTAAAAACAGGAGACTGTTATGCAATGGACTTAAGAGGAAGGAAAAAAAAGTCCTCAGCAAAGAAAGCTAACATTTAATAAGCAAAACCCTTTGTAGAACCCATACCTCTGGGGGAGAAAAGAGGGGAGATGGGGCTTTGCATCTGCTTTTGGGGCAGAATACTTGAGATTGCCATAGGAAAAGAAAGATCTAGAGAAATATAGGGGGAAAAAAGCACTCCCTGAATTTGGAATGAGAGTAAAATGAGTAGCCACTCTAATTGTTATTCAAGCTCTAACTTCAAGGTTCCAATAAAGAGAGGCCTTCAGTCTTCTAGAAGGGGCCAGTGACCCCTCCAGAATTAGAACGTCTCTGAACAACCAGATAAGACAAATCATTCTAGAGTCCAGACTGAGGCACCAGCCTCACTAGGTCCCATTTAGAATGCAGAATCCTGGCTCCAGGCTGCAGCACCCATGGCTTAGAAAGGCCCCAGAGGGAGCAGGGTTGCTACTGCATGGCTGTTCAGCTTAGCCTAGTCCCTCTTTCCATTTGGCAGTCACTAGCCTCCGTATCGATTCCAAAATCTTGAAGGCTACAAGTCACCATTACTAAACACACATGGTTAGTGGAGGTGAAAGAGTCACCTGGAGATTGTTCCATTTTTATTTTACAGGGGATGCCAACGAGGCCTTTTCTGGTGAAAGAAATAGCTCAGAAACACACAACGAAGGACAAGACCTGCCCCCAGGACACAACCACTGCACTTCCTCTGCCCCACATGGTGTTGCATCTTTGGTAAGTGTTCATGTCACCAAAGACCTTTGGTGACCAGCAGGCCTTTGACACTTGAACGCTCTCTGTGCTCCAGGCTGCAGATATTCATGAAAATGATGCATTAGCTTTCTGCTAATTGCAACTGGTCAGGTGGCCAATATCAAAATTAGAAGCCAATACCATTTCCTGCTGCCTTCTGCGTGTAGGAATGCTTACCACCTTAACAAAGAGGCTCTTATTAGGCCAGGTCCTCATCCAGCTCTTGGGTGCATTAACTTTTTAAGGTTACTTCTCTCCACAGAGCCCGAGTCTTGCTTTGGTACCTGAGAGAAAAGGTCTTCTAAGAGGTAGCTAAAGAAGGTAGAGTTTAACAGGAACTGGAAGCCTGAGTCCCACTTGATTGGACAAAGGCCAGGTTGTGGTAAGTTGTAAACAACTTCTGATGCCACACTTTCAAGAGCAAGATGCTCCAAGCCAGTGGTTCCCAAACTTCAGCATCACAATCCCCTGGAGAGCTTGTTACAACACAGATTGCCAGGCCAGTGCCAGAGTTTCTGGTTCTGTAGGCCTAGGGTAAGGCCTGAGAATGTGCATTTCTAACAATGCCAGGTGATATGGATACTGCTGGTCTGGGAACCATACTAGGAACTCACTATTAGCATCAGTGTTCCATAAGGCCACCCTATGTTCAATGGACTCAACAACTGGAATGTTAAAAGGAACAGTGTTTGGGGTAGGCTTGGCTATGCTGATCCTGGAGTTGGGAGGACACCTTAACACAGAATGGAACTCATACGTATCTTACTCAAGGTCAGCAGGTGAGCCAAGTCCCTCAATAGTGTCTGGCAATAGCAGGAGGAACTGCTACTCGCTGTCCCACTCCTCCTTCATGTAAGTGTAAATCAAAGCCACAAGGCATCACAGGGAGACAATCCATTAGTGGGTATGAGTGTAGGGGTTTAGAGGTGTAGGGGGAATCACCTGACCTAACATTCTTAACTTTATTCTCTTTAAAAGAATGGAGGGAGAAAAACAAGGAAAGAAACATTGATGTGAGAAAGAAACATCAATCGGTCATCTTTCGTACATGCCCCTATCAGGGATCAAACTCACAACCTAGGCATGTGCCCTGACCTAGAATCAACTGGCAAGCTTTTGCTTTGTGGCACAACGCCCAAAAAACTGAGCCACGCCAGTCAGGGCACCTTAACTTTATTTTTTAAGGTACTTGAGACCCCAGAAGCTGAAGTAGCCAGCCTGAGTAAGCCGTTGATTCTTTGTGGAGGGAGTCCAGGACCCAGGTCTCCAACGCCTAGCACACTATACCATCCCTTGATAAACCACTGTTTCCTGTAGCATCTCTCAAAAAAAAAAAAAAAAAAAAAAAGAAAAGAAAAAAGAAAGAAAGAAAGAAGTGTTAGGCTTGGTTAAGCTTCTTTGAAACATCCTTCTGTCCTGCTGTCCTTCCCACAGCTGTATTCAGTTAGAATTCAATAAAAAAGATCATTCTTTTAAGATTGGGCATC